TTTGATATTTCGGAAGAGATCTACTACAGGAACAGGATGAATGACAAGATTTTATACAGGTATATACTTGACAAAATTTCGTTGGAAGTTAAAATAAAAAGGAAAAAGAAAATCTGACAATCAAAAACTACTATTTCAACACTTGAAAACGGCCCTTGTTAATTTGCAATTAACCCTATGCAACTAGTTTAATCCATTTCGGAGCCATGGAGGGGCTTGAAAATAAAATTCTCAGATGGAAAGAGTGACAAATAACTCGATTCTACCCTTTTGCTTTCCAAGGCACAATTTACATTTATCTTAAAACCCTCAAAATTTTGTTATTCTTAGAAAATCACCGTAAACATCTTTATTAGGGAATTTGGCGCAAATGTTCCCAACTTCACCTTTAGTGTGCAAATGGTCCCTAACATTTATTTCATGGCTTGAACATCTCTATCTCAAACTAATGTCTCGGTTCGCAATTGATCATATTTTAATAAGAAAAAGATCAATATGTCCTTTATTTAAATTAGGAAAAATAAAATTTGTAGCTAGGTCCCTAGCCATTGGAAAAAATTACAAAGCCCCAAATCTTTTATTTAATAATATTGATTTTTAACATACTAAATATATAATTATAGTTGTCCCAATTAAATTTTCCAAAAAGAAAGAAAAAGTTAAATTATATGTCATGAAAAACTTGAATAAAATTAAGATAAATGAAAAACAAAATGACTTAGATAATTTTAGGACATTCAACCAATATCATTGATAATTATATATGAACCAATACTAGTCAAATAACATTCAACTCATAAGTCAAGTATATTTTTTTCAAAGCTTGGTGTTTGATCAGTGTAAATACGACACTTATCTCGACTTTTTACGAGGCTTTTATTAGTGTTTCGAATTCAATTCTATTGATTTTTTTTCCTATAAAATGAACCCCAAACTTTTCATGACATCGTTAGTGAAATTGATAAAAGAGATTAAAAAGCAAGTTCACATGAAACTGGAACAAAAAGGAAAAGGGGAAAAGAAAGATAAATCAACTGGAACTGAATACGCGAAAATACTTGGAGAAATTAGAGTACCAAGCTCAGTTAGGAGTCCAACACATTCAAAATTATGTACCACAAATCATTTTCATTTTCGTCTAGACTGCCACACTAGGCACACTCTTGCACTTCAGTTCCCTATTTTCAACCCCAAAAATATCTATGATGGAAGCCTTAGGGTCTTTTAGGTCATTTGATACATGGTTTTGCGCCTTAATTTTCAGTTTGAATATACTATAATCCATCTACTTCATAAGGGAGCTTGTAGGAGACACAAATTCAGACCTAGGGTTCGGTGAATTGAAGAACAAGGATTGGGGATTTTGAAGTTCTGGCTCAACGATTCTATTTGGTTATGTCAAGCTAAACTCTTATTTGTTTGATTACTTTGAATATGTAGCTAAATTTTCATTTGCTAGGATGGTGATGTAAATCACTCTTGTGAAAATTTAATCTAATTTTTCATTTTGAACTTCAAATGTGAATAGTGATTGATTACTTGTTATTGATTTTATTACATTCAATTATTTAGCCACCAGTTGAACTATTTATGGACTGTATTGATATCGAGGGGTGATATTCATGTTTAAATCAAATATTTAACAAGTGCACGATTACTAAAAAAATAAAACGTAACATAAATCTGGAGAGCAAAAATAGATTTTAACTTTATTTGAGAGAAACAGTTAAATAATTTAGGGATATTGTCTTCAACATAAACAAGTATTATCAATTATGTGATTGGTTGAATTAAAGTAGATAAGTATACAGGTAAAATCAAAGTTATATTTGAAACTTCTTCAAAGTTCATAAAGTATTTTTAGCTTAACTTTAAGTAATTTTTTTAGTTAAAATCAAAATTCAATTAAAACTTGGTATAAAACTATTTAGTTTGATATATAACTAAATATAAGTTTTAATGGAATCAACACTCTATTTGCTCTTGATTACTTGTCCACAATACCGTGCACTTACAATTTTTAAGTGACAAATGACAAATGTGTCACATATTACTAAACTAAAAGACAGTTGAGAATCGAGAATTTTAAATTACTAAGAATTTTTCAAGGACAATACAACTAAAAGACCATTGCAAGATGTCCTTTTTAGTAAATGAGCACTTCTTGTGAAAATTAGCAAAATGAGTACTTTTAAATGAAACTACTGAAAATACCCCTAATGTTATATTTTTATTTTTATTTTCATAAAATTCAACCATTACTTGATAGGTGCACAACTTTTGAGGCAAATCTTGAAAGTCGGCAAAAAAAGTTTCATTCTAGGAGATCTTTTGGTAGCAAGCTGATAATTCGACTAATTAAGATAGTTAAAACTATTTTCCATTTTTTGAGTTGGTTAGAGTTGTTTTCTAAGATAGTTGGAATTAGGCCTGTGCAATTTAACAGGAATCGAATCTTTCGAATCGAATTTGAAGGTTCCGATTTGATTCTCAAAAAAAAAAAATTTGGAACCAAAATCGAGAATCAATAATCAACTAGATTCTGTTCGATTCTTGGCTCTTGAACTAGAACCGTGGGTACGTAAATGGAACTGATTTTTATATAATTTTTTGTTTATAATTTATAGGCTAGATAGAAAAATACAAAACATAAAAACCCTAATTTGAATATTAATTAGTTTAAAACTCTAGACTAACAAATCTAGACTGGCTCCTAATTTTTTGCCTATTGCCTCATATCAAATTGTTGTATGTCACAGGTTAGTACATATTTATCTTTACAATTTGGATTTTTTATGAGTCAAAAAATTCAAGTTAAATTGTGGTGTAAGTTGATAAATCAAAGCGTTCATCCTCTGGGTTTACTTGTAAAATTATTTTATGGAAAAATGTGCGATTGAAAATGAGTATTGAAAAATGAGTTTTTGAAAAAATTGAGCCAAATTGGTTTATCTTAAGTTCATGGTTCTCTTTTGAAATATATATTATTTTTTTCTTTTCTATTCAAAAAGGGTGAGTTCAATATGCCAACTGTAATTTCTTAACATTATATATGTATTTAATTAGTATTTTTTTGTCAATTCATTTTAAAAGTAGAAGAATTTAAGCATTGTTCATAATTAAATTATAGGTTTTAGCATGCCCCACTTATGGATTGAATAAGATTTATGCATTGTTTGATTCCCATTTTTTTAAAATACATTTTTCTTTCTCGTCTTTTCAACTACACATTATTCATTAAAATGATATTACACATAAGTTATTTCTTATTTTTCAACCACATATTTTCCATTGAATTGACTATTCTAAAATTTATTTTTTCATAAACATGGGGCTCCATCACCCTCTTATTAAGAAAAGTACTTTTTTCTCAAATTGTAATTTAATTTTTGATGCTTTAATTTTCTTCTCTTTTCATAGTTTTTAGTTTTCACTATTTTGCTTCTTGAAGATTTATTAGCTGAATTTTCTCAATGCACAAATACTTTCGAACAGTATCGTGTAATGTATAAGTACTGAAAGGGACTATATGAAAATGCCTATATATATATATATATATATATATATATATATATATATCATGGGTTTGAGTTTGGTTCTATGAATTACAATTACCCGAATTGTTCTATTTACGAAATACCCGAAGTATAATAGGTGATTCTAGGTTAAAATATCCAGATCGATCCACCCGAAACCAAAGCCTTGTTAGAATTGTCTAGTATTCCAATAATTGTCTCGAAAATGAGTATTCTCTTGAAAAATTTTCATAAAAGGTAAGTCATTTATATATATATAAATGTGTGTGTGTGTGTGTGTCTCCTAGACATAATTCATTACTTCTATTAGGAACATGGATAACATAGAAAAGGTCAAGCCTTCTTTTAGAACAGCTCTAGTCAAATGTTATATATGCCCTTTTTGTATGACATCACGACACTCTACTGAAAAACAGGGGAAAAGGAATAAAATCACTTAGCCAAGCTTAAAAATAGGAGAGTGAAGAGACAGGCTGATGTATTAGAAAATGATTGGGTGTTTTTGTTTTAATTTTTCAAATTATTCAATCATGCGTCGACACATGTTCCATTTGGATTTGAGACTGAATGTGCAACATTATTGGGGAAAAAAGGGTATTGTTGTAACAATTTTGAGACTAAGTAATTAAATCCATGAAGAACATGAGCTAGGAAGCACCTTCAAGTTCTTGAGTGCAAAGAAGAGAGTGAGTTATAAGTGACGAGGTTTTTTTTACTCAAAATACAACAGTGCCTTATACATTCAGAAAATTGAACTAAATATCAACAAACATCATTTGAGTTCACTGTGATTCGGTGAAAAACGAAAATAGGCGAGCTTTAGAAGAGAAACCGCATTCCCTTAGCCCATGTCATCTAGAACAACTAGTCCAAACAAAGAAGAACAAGATCGAGTTATAAACTTTGTGATAGAACTTCTCCAATGTATTTCATATGATTGAATATGAAAATTGCTTTATTATATTTCAATGTATCATCATTTGCTATATCTTAATTTGGTAGATTTTCACTCTTACAATTGATTCGTCACTCATCACCACGCGATTGCATTTTCGATTGTCTAGAAAGTAATAATATTATTCGTATAGAAATTTGCAAGCTTACTTTTTCTAAATAATGGAGACAATAAGAAAAAAACGACAATGAAAAGCTAGAAGCCACAAAGAGGTCGAAATGCCATATTCGCCACTTAATGATCAATGATTTCGAAGGAACTAGATCTACCTGTTTTTTATTTCCATTCAACAGCTTTTAAGTCGCCAATCCATATGTATTAATGATAATACCCAAACAACTACCATTCAATAGAGGTGAATATGAATATCAGAAAATACGGTTGACTTTCTTCCATTGCCTTGTAATAAAATAATGTTTATTTAAGGATAAGAGAAATTAAACATGAGAACTCAACAGCGAAAAAAATAAATATCCACAAAACACGTCTAGGAAATATTTGCTTGGAGATTATTCAAACATGGAAAACTTGGAATTCGCAATTGTGATCCCCCCATCAACAAAAAGGTTGTGTCCATGAACGCACTTCGACTCATCGCTAGCCAAGAACAGAACAGCGTCAGCCACATCCTCTGGCTTAAGTGAAACACCTTTGAGGATAGAATATACATTTCCGAATCCCTCATCATCCATTTTGTAGAAATCCTTCGACTGCTGTGTGGGAACTACGTGTGGTGACACACAGTTTACGCGAATGCCATGTTTTCCAAGCTCCACAGCCAAATTCTTCGTCAGTCCCACCACTTTTACTGTATAATATAATAAAATATATATATCAAGCAAAGATAAAAAAAACATCGTTTTTGCTCCACCACTTAAAAAAAAAAAAAAAAATCTAGTGCAGTGAGACAAAATGGCACAAGTCATTGTTGATTTCTACAATAACTTCACATTCTTTTTTTTATATAGTAGGGATATGCCTCCTAGACATAATACGTTACTTCTATTAGGAACATGGATAACATAGAAAAGGTCAAGCCATCTTTTCAAATGTTATATATGTCCTTTTTGCACGACATCACGACATTGTGCCGAAAATCAAGGGAAAAGGAATAAAATCACTTAGCCAAGCTTAAAAATAGGGGAGTAAAGAGACAAATTGATGTATTAGAAAATGATTTGATGTTTTTGTTTAATTTTTCAAACTGTTCAATCATGCGTCGACACATATCCCATCTAAATTTGAGCCTGGATGTGTAACATTATCGGGGAAAAAGGGTATTGTTTTAATAATTTTGAGACTAAGTAATTAAATCCATGAAGAACATGAGCTAGGCAGCACCTTCAAGTTCTTGAGTGCAAAGAAGAAAGTGAGTTATAAGTGACGAGGTTTTTTTTATCCAAACTACAACAGTGCCTTATACATTCAGAAAATTGAACTAAATATCAGCAAACATCATTTGAGTTCGCTGTGATTCGGTGAAAAACGAAAATAGGCGAGCTTTAGATGAAAAACGGCATTCCCTTAGCCCATGTCATCTGGAACAACTAGTCCAAACAAAGAAGAACAAGATCGAGTTATAAACTTTGTGATAGAACTTCTCCAATGTATTTCATATGATTGAATATGCAAATTGCTTTATTATATTCCAATGTATCGTCATTTGATATATCTTAATTTTCACTCTTACAATTGATTCGTCACTCATCACCACGCAATTGCATTTTCGATTGTCTAGACAGTAATAATATTATTCGTATAGAAATTTGCAAGCTTACTTTTTCTAAATAATGGAGAAAATAAGAAAAAGACGACAATGAAAAGCTAGAAGCCACAAAGAGGTCGACATGCCATATTCGCCACTTAATGATCAATGATTTCGAAGGAACTAGATCTACCTGTTTTTTATTTCCATTCAACAGCTTTTAAGTCGCCAATCCATATGTATTAATGATAATACCCAAACAACTACCATTCAATAGAGGTGAATATGAATATCAGAAAATACAGTTGACTTTCTTCCATTACCTTGTAATAAAATAAAGTTTATTTAAGGATAAGAGAAATTAAACATGAGAACTCAACAGCGAAAAAAATAAATATCCACAAAACACGTCTAGGAAATATTTGCTTGGAGATTATTCAAACATGGAAAACTTGGAATTCGCAATTGTGATCCCCCCATCAACAAAAAGGTTGTGTCCATGAACACACTTCGACTCATCGCTAGCCAAGAACAGAACAGCGTCAGCCACATCCTCTGGCTTAAGTGAAACACCTTTGAGGATAGAATATACATTTCCGAATTCCTCATCATCCATTTTGTAGAAATCCTTCGACTGTTGTGTAGGAACTACGTGTGGTGACACACAGTTTACGCGAATGCCATGTTTTCCAAGCTCCACAGCCAAATTCTTCGTCAGTCCCACCACCCCATGTTTTGAACTTACGTAATTGTGTGAAGAACCACCGCCTATTTTCGAGCAAGTACTCGCTGTTGTGATTATGTTCCCACTGCGATTCGGGATCATTACTCGAGCAGCGTGTTTAGCACACAAGAACGGACCTACGAGGTTTACATTAATAATCTTTTCGAACTCTGATTTTTCGATTTCAAGAATGCTTGGATTTGGTATCCCCCCAATACCAGCATTATTATGCAGAATGTCTAATTTCCCAAATTTGGCAACAGCTGTGTCAATTGCAGTTTCTACATCGGATTCCTTAGTCACATCACAGTGGACAAAAATGGCTGATGATTTTCCCAGTTCCTTGCATAATTTCTCTCCCAATTCATCATTGATGTCTGCAACCAGAACTTTAGCACCATGTTTGACGAACAGTCTGGCAGTCGCCTCGCCGATTCCAGTAGCAGCACCGGTGATTAATGCTACCTTCCCTTCCAGCCTAGGTTCATACATTTTGTTAGTACA